TAAAACAAGAAAACAGTTGATAAATAAAGGAAAAGAAGAAACAGGGGAATAAGAATATAAATGGCTTTTCATAACTTTGTACTTTTTCATAGTAGTCTTTGTGTTTAAGTTAGAAAATGGTGCCCCCTTGTGACCAAAAATCAGCAAATTGGGCATAAAGAGCCCAATTGAAGCAAACCTTAAGCATGTCTCCAGTAAGGAGGAAGCAGGAAAATGGGAAAAGACTGCCCCTTCAGGAAGATGCTATTATTACATTTTTTATGTCAAACTGCTGTTCATAGAGATTTAAAACACCTCTTTGTTAATGCTGTTGTGGTTAATTCTGATTTTATTTATTTATTTATTTATTTATTTATTTATTTATTTATTTGAGGGGGAAGAAAAACAATGATTTGTTGTTCCACGTATTAATGCATTCATTGGTTGATTGTTAAATGTGCCCTGACTGGGGAACAAACCCACACAACCTTGGCATATTGGGACGACACTAACCAGCTGAGCTACCCAGCCTGGGCTTAATTCTGATAATTGATTCTAATTCAAAAGCAGATTTATATTTGACCCATCCTGTAGGAAAAAATATATATATATTTAAAACCCTTCTATTATTTGTTTTCTACATCTTCTCTATGTTCACTTTGTCCTTTAAAACATGCACAAGGTGAAAAATCATAACAAACATTTTAACCTACTTTTCTAAAATTATCAACTGCAATTAGATTTGTTACACTGTGACAGAGGTAACATCTTTGGAAAGTAAGTGGGGATTAGGAAAGACAAATAAAATAAAAAATTAGGTAGTCAAAGACAATTTCTAAATATTAAATATTTTAAAATCAGCTGCCTTTGATATTACTCCCAAATCTTCATGGACTATGTAAAATAATGACACAGTTGTGAGTTATTATTTTAGATAACCACAGCTAATAGGTGTGGTCCCCAAGTGCCAAGGACTGACATTGTTTGAAGGTGTAAAAAGACAACCCTTTTACTAAAATTTACTACCTAGAAAAATTTACTACCGAAAATTTACTACCTAGAAAAATGCTGAAGCAAATCACTGATCAGCCAATTTGTATTCATTCCTAGGAAACAGCAGACTGTAAAAAGCAAAACAAAAACATAGTTTTGCCTTAAGGCAGGGGAGGGTGGGTGGATGGAAGGTAATCAACCAAGGATCTTGTATGCATATATGCATGGTACATGGACACAGACAATGATGGGGCAGTGAGGGTCTGGGGTGGGGGCGGGGACGGGCTGGAGGGGCTCAATAGAAGAAAAAAGAGGGACATACGAAATACTTCAACAATAAAGAATTATTAAAAACATGCCCTAGCCGAAACCAGTTTGGCTCAGTGGATAGAGCGTCGGCCTGAGGACTGAAAGGTCCCGGGTTCAATTCCTGTCAAGGGCATGTACCTTGGTTGCGGACACATCCCCAGTAGGGGGTATGCAAGAGGCAGCTGGTTGATGTTTCTCTCTCATCGATGTTTCTAACTCTCTATCCCTCTCAATTCCTCTCTGTGTAAAATCAATAAAATATACCGTATTTTTCGGACCATAAGACGCACCAGTTTTTAGAGAAGGGAAATGAAGAAAAAAAGATTCTGAAACAAATAGTGTCCTAAAATATTTTATGTGCATTAAAACCCAACATCACAGTCATAAACACATGTAATCAACCCTGTAAAGTAAACAGCAGCATTTAGAACCATTTTAGAGCCAGGCAAGCACACAGAGACCACACAGAGCCGGGCAAGTAAAAAAACTTTTTTTTTAAAGTATATGTGTAGGCTATATTTGGACCATAAGATGCAGGGACTTTTTCCCCCCACTTCTGGGGGGAAAAAAGTGCGTCTTATGGTGCAAAAAATACGGTACTTTAAAAAAAACCCAAAAAACAAACAAACAAACAAAATGCCCTAGCTGGTTTTGTTCAGTGGATAGAATGTTGGCCTGTGGACTAGAAGGATCCTGGGTTTGATTCTAGTCAAGGGCACATGCCCGGGTTGCAGGCTCGATCCCCAGTAGGAGGCGTGCAGGAGGCAGCTGATCAATGATTCCCTCTCATCATTGATGTTTTTTTTCTCTCTCCCTCTTCCTTCCTCTCTGAAATCAATAAAAATATATTTTAAAAAAGAATTATTAAAAACAAAAATCAACATAGCTTTGCATACACAAAGGTATCTGAGCTTAACCTAAGATTATGATGAATTGATACTACGATGGAACTAATGCATTCATCCAATTATCCTGAATAACAATAATAATAGCTCTTATAATAATTACTAGAGGCCCAGTGCACGAAAATTCATGCATTGGGGTGGTGGAGGGAGGCAGTCCCCTCAGCTCGGCCTGCGCCCTCTTGCAGTCTGGGATCCCTCTGGGGATGTCCACCTGCTGGTTTAGGCCTGCTCCCCAGGGGATTGGGCCTAAGCTGGCACTCAGACATCCCTCCGGTAGCCCCAGAGCCCTTCAGCCTGGCTTGTGGCTGAGTAGCTCTCCCCACTGTGGAGGTGCACTGACCACTAGGGGCAACCAGTCATTCCCTGTTGTTCTACCATTAGGGTTAATTTGCATATTACCCTTTTATTATATAGGATCGGCTGTAGTATTTATGCAGGTCTTACTCTTAGCCAGGCACTCTACATATATTATCTCATATGCTACTATTGTTATCACTCACATTTCACAGATGAGGAAACTGAGGCTTAAAGAGTTTAAATAATGTGGCCAAGACCAAGTCATAGAACTGGCTATTTATTACCTCTTTACCACTATTTATAGGAAGCCAGGACCGATACTCCCAGGCTTGCCCACACTCCAATCCAACCCTCTGTATTTCAAGTTACATTTAGTTTGGTCCTGCACATTCAGTGCAACCGGAAACAGCTGGCTAGAGGGCAGTCTCCCACAGGATGCAATCCCTAAGGTGCTCTACAGTGACGGTGTTGTTAGGAGAGCCCACTGGAGTCAAGATTCAAAAGTCAAAGGGAAGAAAAGTGTGGTCTTTTGACTAAAGAGAGAAAGGCCAAGGATTTGGTTTGATATGCTTCTTTAGATTCCTCTGGAGGTGAGGATTTAGACATTCTGATTCTGTGAAGTGTAATATCAGATGATACTTACATGTTCTAAAATCTGGAATCCAGTTTTTTCCTGGTTTGGCTCTCCAAACTCTATGGCTTTAGGTCTGGTGTGGATGGAATAGAGCAGTCTAAGTCTGGCCCAATCCTGGGAATTTATGTTCTTTTCAATTCATCCACAGATCACATCTGAGTCTTTTTTCCTGTCTCCACATTCCACAGTCAAAGCTCTTCTGGAGTGGATCCATGCACAGAACAGGCACGGAATTAATATTTGTTGAATCAGTGGAGGAAGTAACACAAAGGAGTCTTAACATATAACGTGGAGCAAGCGAGATAAAGATAGAAGGAGGATATACCAAGTAGAGAGAAGAACATATATAAATCCTGGGCAATGTGCCCTGGCCAGGTGGTCAGTTGGTTCAAGTGTCGTCCCATGAACCAAAAGATTGTAGATTTGATTTCAGGTCAGGGCACATACCTGGGTTGTGAGTTGATCCCCATTCAGGGCAAGTGTGGTAGGCAAACTATTAAGGTTTCTTCAACATTGAAGTTTCTCTCTCACTCTCGTTGCTCTCTTCCCTCCTCTCTAAAAATTCAACAAAATCATATCCTCAGGTGAGGATTAATTTTTTAAAAACTGGGAGATGGGAACTTTAGGAACTGCAATGGCCGGTATAAAGGCTGTGAGATATAATGGAAAGCTTAGTCACAGCTACAAGCCAGGACTCTGGAGCCTGCTAGCTTTGGTTTGAATCCTGGCTCCACCTCTCACCAGCTGTGTCTTTGGGCAAGTTCTAGAACCTCTCTATACCTGTCTCATGGAATGTTAGGAAGATTAAATGAGCTATAGCATAAGAAGTGTTTGGAACAGTGCACTCAATAAATGTGAATTCCTGTGATTCTCACGTGGGTGAGTAGTGGGTAGGTGGGGTAGGCAGGGGACAGGTCCTGGAGTTTCCTCTGTAAAAAGGGAGAACAATTATGCCAATAATTGTTCCGTGGAGAATGTTTGAAGGTTTGTAGGAAGTGGGGAGTCAGGGTGTGATTTGAAGTTTGGAAAGGTAATTCGGGGATGGGGAGGAGGAGATTAAACTGAAGACAGGAAGACCAGTGAGGAGGCCATTGCAGTGTTCCAGATGAAGAGGATAAAGACTTAAACCAAGTTAATTCCAGATGCAGTGGAGAGGACAGGGAGCCACTCAGTGAAGAGTTAGCAGGTCTAACCACAGGAGGCAGCCTCTGACCCCATGAGAGGGAGGCCAAATCTCACTGTCAGGTGGGGCTTAAAGTAGCAGTCACTGAGAGTGGGAACAGCAGGAACGAGGTGCGTTTCCAGGAGGAGGAAGAGTTTCGCTTTGTTCGTGTTGTCTTAATTTTGGACATGTTGAGTTCGAAGAGAACAGCCAAGCCCCAATGCGATGGATGAACAGGTTTAGTAATTCAGAGAGATATCAGAACTCTGATAAGAACTCCAAACATTACTAAGTGAAGCTGTTGACACTTCTGGGCTGAAGAACAATAATTGGGGGGCGGTTACTTAAGATGCTATCTATGCGCTGATTATAGATATTAATATGGAAAAGATGAGCAAACCCCATCTGGAAAATGGGTGACGTTAGAAGATTGTTTTGGCAAGCCAGGAATGTTATCATTTATTGTCAGACAGTAGTGACTAAAACAAAGGCACTACCAAGATTAAAGATTCACCAATCATTGATTTAGTCATATTTGGAGGATTTTGTTAGCTGGCCTTTGGCTGGAACATATAATATATATTGATGTTATTTAAACGTGTGGATATGGATACCAATATTCACGTGTGTGTATATATGCGATGTGTTTATAATTTTACAATTTCAGTTATTCAGCAACTTTACCAGGCTTCTGCAATTTTTCACATTCCCCCATCCACAGGTATTTCTGATGAATATATAACACCGATGTTTAGTTTTTACAAAAGTGTGGCAGAATTGAAAATGACTCAAGAAGAGTATGCACTGCTTACAGCCATTGTTATTCTCTCTCCAGGTAATTTTGATGTTGGATTTTCATTTTTATTCTATTTGTTTATTTGTTCCAGTATAATTATAATCATGTTTATTAAAGAAAATCTGGGAAACACAGAAACAGAAAAAAGTAAAATGGCCTATAATCCCACCGCTTCAAATTGAATCATGTTAACATTTCAATGTGTTTCTTCTCAGCCTTTCTTCTAAACCTCGCTTTCATTCAGTAAATACATTTTTAATACCTACTATGTGCTAAACATGGTTCTAGACATTGGGAAATATAGAAGTAAAGAAATAGGCAGGACATAGCTGCATGGGGCTTACTACACTCTAGTGGGGTAAGAAAAACAACTAATGAAGAAACAAAAATAATTTGTAGTAATTATTGAGGTGGATAGTGCTACAAAAATTTAAAGATGAGACTATGAGGAAAGAAAGTGGAAGTAGAATATATATATTTTTTAAACACAACCATTTTCTTTTTTTAAAATATATTTTATTGATTTTTTACAGAGAGGAAAGGAGAGGGATAGAGAGTTAGAAACATTGATGAGAGAGATTCATCGATCAGCTGCCTCCTCCACACCTCCTACTGGGGATGAACCTGAGATCCAGGTACATGCCCTTGACCAGAATCGAACTTGGGACCTTTCAGTCCGCAGGCTGACACTCTATCCACTGAGCTAAACTGATTTCGGCTAGAATATTATTGTAATTAGTGGTAAAGTAAGATTTTTTCCCCCCAGGGATTATTAAAGAGGAGCCTAAATGAAAGTATGTACATACTTTTTAACATAATAGAAAGAATACTGTCTTAAACTTTATTTTACTCATTTATTTTTGCCCATGTCACACCTTAGATGTTTTTTTTTAAATATATGTTTTAATTGATTTTTAGAGAGAGAGATAAAAACATTGATAAGAGAGAAACATAATTGATTGGCTGCCTCCTGCAAGCTCCCCCCCCACTGGGGATGGAACCTGCAACCTGAGCATGTGCTCTGCTGGGGAATTGAACCAGTTACTTCTTGGTTCATGGATTGGCACTCAGCTACTGAGCCATACTGGCTGGGCTATTTTATTTTTTTAATCCTCATTGGAATATATGTTTTACAGATTTTTAGAGATGGGGGATGTAGGGGAGGAGAGAGAGATAGAGAGAGAGAAAAGAAAGAGAGATAAGAAAAACATCAATATATGAAAGAAACATTGATCAGTTGCCTCCCACACAAACCCCCAATGGGGATTGAACCTGCAACTTCAGTACTAGTATTTGCCCTGAACAGGAATTGAACCCACAACCTTTAAGTGCATGGGATGACACTCCAACCAATTGAGCCACACCAAAATGTCTTGTTTTAAAATATACTGTTCTTCAAATGCCTTTGCCTATGTCATTAAAAAAAAATTATACTGGAAAAGTTTATAGTAATGCATGCATCATAGACCAATCATTTACCTAACTTTTACCATATGTTTGGATATTCAGAATACTTCCAATTATTTGTTGTTCTAAACAATGTTGAAATGAATACCTCTATATATGCATTTTTCTATTTTTTGCTTATTTATTTGGGAGTGATGCCACATTCATAAGCTGTGGCCTTAAGCCATTTTATACATGACATTAAGTCAGAAGCTACTTGTTACCTTGTTTTACCATAAAAAATTATCACTAAAAAAGAAGAAAAACACTTGTAATATATTTTTTATTGATTTCAGAGAGAAAGGGCGAAGGAGAGATAGAAATATCAACAGAGAGAATCATTGATCGGCTGCCTCCTGCACACTCCATACTGAGGAGTGAGCCCACAACTCGGGCCTGTGCCCTGATGGGGAATTGAACCATGACCTCCTGGTTCATAGGTCAATGTCCAACCACTGAGCTACATTGGCTGGGCAAGAAGAAAAAGATTTTGGCGGCTCCTACTAAAGTTATACATATATAAACCCTACATCCCAAGTTCCAGTCCTTAGGTTATACCCTCCAGAAATGATACTTATGTTCACCATACATGCTACTTTGGGGGCATTAATTGAAAGGGGAGTTTAGGGAGGCCTGTAAATGTTCTATATCTTGATCTAGTTACGATTATATGAGTACATGTACGTGAGTGTGAAAATTCATCAAATTGAACACTTCATTTGTACATTTCAACTGTACAACATGTTTGAGTTACACTTCAAGAAGGTTAGCCTTGCCTGGCCAGCGTGGCTCAGAGGTTGAGTGTCAACCTAGGAACCAAGAGGTCATGGTTCAATTCCTGGTCAGGGCACATGCCTGGATTACAGGCTTGATCCCCAGTGAGGGGCATGCAGGAGACAGCTGCTCAATGATTCTCATCATTGATGTTTCTACCTCTCTCTCTCCTTTCATCTTTGACATCAATACACACACACACACACACACACACACACACACACACACACACATATATTCTAAAGGTTAGGCTTACTGTAATATGCCAAACCCTCCACTCTTTAATTTTGTCGTTTTATGATAAACGTCAAAACAGACAGACAATACATAAAGGACAGAGAGGCCGTAGAGAAGCTTCAGGAACCTCTGCTGGACGTGCTGCAGAAGCTGTGCAAGATCCACCAGCCGGAGAACCCCCAGCATTTCGCCTGTCTCCTGGGCCGCCTGACAGAGCTGCGGACGTTCAACCACCACCACGCCGAGATGCTGATGTCCTGGCGGGTCAATGACCACAAGTTCACCCCGCTCCTCTGCGAGATCTGGGATGTGCAGTGAGGGGCACCGGGGGCGGGCCTGCCCTCCGTGTTCCTCTTGTCCTAAAGCCCATGGGAAACTTGGCCTTTATTTCTTGGTTTCACCCAAGAATTTTGACAAATATTTATGCAGTAATTATGTAACTTCCACGACTGTAAATACGGGGCTCGGTAGAATGGCTTTCTCTCCTTGTTATTTTACACGGCTTCAGGGAATCTTCTTTGAATTGGCATGCCCTGTTTGCCTAACTAAATTTGTTGAAATGGGGGGGGGGGGGGCGCGGGAATCTCAGTTTGCGCTTCATCTTCCCTTGTTGCATATATTTTATTAAACAGCGGTGTGCGCTTTGGGCAATAAAGTGAAGGTAATGCCAGCAGGCTTTTATGTGAGAACAGAATTTGAAAAAAATACACAAACTCTTACGTCTTTGAATGAAGAATGACATCGTATTGAGCCCAAGGGGTAACTACAAAAGGATAAACTCTCCCGATATGAATGCTACATTTTTTTTCCTCCACCCCTGGTGAATAGTCATTCATTTGTAGTAGTAGCCCTCTGATCATTTCATTCTCTTTGAACTTCAAAGAGAATAGCATACAGAAAAGTGAATGATTATCACATAAAATATTCCCCAAGCATATTAGTTATGCTTTTAGGGGGACTGCTTCCCGTAGTCGGAGTCTCGAGGCAGCATTTACAGATTCAGAGTATGCAGGTAGCCCCAGTGCTGGGACAGTCCCAGTTCTCATTGGAAGTGCTCACTGTGGGTTTCGGTGCATATAATTAATCATCTTGTTTTGTGTGCTTTTGGAAAACACTCCTTCAGCCTGGTGCACAGCTATTGTATACTCCCCTCTAAAGCAGGAATTAGTTCATTTCCTTCCTTCCTTGTTACACTGTGCCATTCTTCTCCCCATTATCCTTTGGTGAATACAATAAAACACCTTCTCTAAGGAACGGGCTTATAGCTCCCTTTCTCCTGAAGTCAGCCAAAATGGAGCTTGCGTAGCAAGAAAAGGCTTGCTTTCTGTATTAACAATACCAGGGTGACCCTGATGTGCTAAAAATAGCTGGCCAGTGGAACAGGGAGCGAGTTGGGGTTCCATCAGTTGGGTTCTATCTGCTACATTTGTTTCCCAAACTTTTAACATATGTGTACCCCTTCTATAATTTTTTAAAAAAATCAATCTTTATTGTTCATATTATTACAAAGGTTCCTCATTTCTTCCCCCCTCCACTAGGTTCTCACCCCACCCTCCGCCCCCTCCCCATCCCTCATTGTCCTCATCCATAGGTGCACAGTTTATGTTCAGTCTCATCCTCCCTCCCTTTCCCCGATAGTAAATCCCTTTTCAGATAGTAAATCAGTTACTTAGCATTTTCTCATATCAATAATACCACCACATGCCCAATGATACATTTCACACAAAAGACATTTCCAAATAGGTCAACCAGCCTCATCCAGGCCCCACCCAAGGCACTCACAGATCAACACAGATCAACACCCCAGCCCAATACTAACTCAACACATCCAGATCTAAGCCTTCATCACTTGATTCAGCAGACCCTCAAGTTCCCACAAAAGTTTCCAGCCATGTCTGAGAGGCAGCCGTGGGGCAGGGGCAGGCGAGGAGCGAGCTGTTACGGGCCTGGCTGCTCCGGGCCTGGCCTCTGTTGCTCTGGTTCATTCCACAACCAGCTGCTCTGGGTCTGGTCACTGCCGCTCCCGACCTAGTTGCTCTGGACTTGGCTGCTGCTGCTCCGGGTCTGGCCGCACCCGACCCGGCTGCACCCAACCCAGCTGCTTCGGGCCCGGCCGCTCCAGGCCTGGCAGCTGCTGCTTCAGGCCTGGCGGCACCAGACCCGGCTGCTTCAGGCCTGGTCGCTCCCAGCCTGGCAGCTGTTGCTCTGGGCCTGACCACACCAGACCCGGCTGCTCTGGGCCTGGCCGCTCCCAGCCTGGCAACTGCTGCTTTGGGCCTGGCCGCACCAGACCCAGCTGCTCCAGGCCTGGCCGCTCCCAGCCTGGCAGCTGCTGCTCCAGGCCTGGCCGCACCAGACCCGGCTGCTCTGGGCCCGGCCGCTCCTGGCCTGGCTGCTCCCAGCCTGGCAGCTGCTGCTTCGGGCCTGGCTGCACCAGACCCGATGCTCCGGGCCTGGCCGCTCCCAGCCTGGCAGCTGCTGCTCCGGGCCTGGCCGCACCCGATCTGGCTGCTCTGGGCCCAGCTGCCCCGGGCCCGGCTGCTCCGAGTCTGGCCGCTCCCAGCCTGGATGCTCAGGGCTTGGCTACTGCTGTTCTGGGCCTGGCTGCTCCCAACCCAGCTGCTCTGGGCCCGGCTTCTCTGGGCCCGGCCACTCTGGGTCTGGGTGTTCCTGGACTGGCCACCCTGGGCTTGGCCGCCTCCACCTCAGGCCTGGCTGCCACTGCCCCAGGTCTGGTTGCTCCAGTGCTGGCTGTTGATGCTCTGGTTCTGGCTGCTGCTGCTCTGGGGCCTGGCTGTTGCTGCTCCGGGCCCGGCTACCACTACCTTGTGCCTGGCCACTCTAGGCCTGGCTGCCGCTGTTCCAACATTCTGTCTTTTTTTTTTTTTTTTTTTTTTAAACGCATTTATGTTGCAATGTTGGCTGGTGAGTTGAGTTCTGACTTAGTCTTTGATTTTTCAAGATCTTCTTTGTATTCTTTCTTAAGTAATTTTACTATCTTTTGCTCTCACTTGATTTCTTCACATTGAGAACTTCTTTGGTTTCTTCCTCCTTGTCCTGGGAGCTCAGCAGGTTGGCCTGTGGCACCCCTCTGTTCTCTGCGGGCTCCTGCGCTGCTTCAGCCTGTTGCCGGGGTCGGCGCCGCCCAGGAAGCAGCCCCCGGCCTTGGCTCCGTTGCCCGTGCTCAGTGGTCGAAGGCTCAGGGGTACCCCCCCGGGGGGGCCCCGTCCCCTGGCTCCTTGCTGGCGCCTGGCTGGCCGGTGTCCGGCAGGGGCTCCCGCTCCTCGACACGCTCCTCCAGTCTGGAGCCTCCTTTCTCCCTCCCGCTAGGGGAGTCTAGGATCAGAGTCAACAGACTGTCCTCTGCGCGCAGTGCGCGCGACTCCGGGGGCTCCGCTTTTCGCAGCTCCCCCAGGATTCCACCTCACAGCCCCATCTCCCACTGCCTGAGCCTGAGTCCCCAGGGTCTGGCCTCGGACTGGGGTTCAGAGCAGTCAAAACTGGGGCCCAACACAGCCGGGGCTCCTATTTCCTTCCCTCCAGGGCAATCTCGCATCAGAGTCAACATTCCTTCCCTTGCAAGCAATGTGCGCGAGGGGGGGGGGGGGGGGCTCGGCCTTTTGCTGCTCTCCCAGGACTCCACCTCACAGCCCCGTCTCCCTCTGCTTGAGCTTGGGTCCCCAGGGATTGGCCCAGAACTGGGGTTCAGAGCAGTCCGGATTGAGACTCAGTGCCGCCGGAGGCTTTGTTTCTTCTGGCTAGGGTAATCCAGCATCAGAGTCAACATTCAGTCCTCTGCGCGCAATGTGCTCGCGACTCCGGGGGCCCCGCCTTTCGCTGCTCCCCTGGGATTCCGCCTCACAGCCCCGTCTCCCCCTGCCAGAGCCTGGGTCCCCAGGGTCTGGCCCATAACTGGGGCTCAGCGCTGCTGGTTCGGAGGTTCAGCCCAGGCTGGGGGTTTTATTTCCTTCCTTCTAGGGAACGCCAGGCAGCACCCAGCCCTCTCCTCCTCTCCGGCTGCGACCTCTCCACGCGTGTGTGCGGGCGGGCGCGCAGCATGTCTCTGTACCTTGGGCTTTTTTTCAGCTCCTCTGATTTTCCTTCTGGTTTTCTCTTTCCTTCTTGTTGTAGAATTTTCAGTCAGTCGACTACCTGTAGCTCTGGGCGATGTCCACTCTACATTTTAGTTGTATTCCATTGAAATTGTTGTGTGCTGCTGGGGTTAGGTGTCTACCTGAGCAGCTATCTTGGATCCTCACCCCCTTCTATAATTTTTGTAATGCTGAGTACCCCTCGTACTCATGAGAACATAGAATTAGGCGCAGCTAAGCACGGTGCAGTGCACATCCCCACCAAACTCTGTTGCAATGTGTACCCCCACCAAACTCTTCCCATACCCCTGGGGGTACGTGCACCACACTTTGGGAAACACTCTCATCAAAGCCTTGAATCCCCACTAAGTGCAAGATTCTTAGCTGAACTCCGTGGGGAAGTTCAAAGATCATTAAGACACAGTGATTGCTGGAGGGGCTTACAAAGCAGCACAGAGGAGTGTTGTATGGGCTCCACTGGGAAAGTCGCCTGGAAGAGGTGGCACTCTTGCATGGGTCAAAGTAAGAGGGAAGGTCAAAGTAAGAGAGAAGGGGATTTAAAGTGAAAAAGGGGTGGTGGGTGTGGGGGAGAGGGCAAAAGGAGGGAGGCAGGGAATTGTCCAGATGTTAAAAGACCACAAGTAATCTAGGGGAGGGAGAGAGAGGGTGCACAGTCCCTTTTAAGCCTCAGTCTTACTCAGCACTTGCCACCTGAGGAGGTTTAGCTGATGAATGAAGAGTTAGTGGGATGTTGCAAGCCCACCAGGGGAGAAGGACATTTAAAAGAGAGAATTAAACTTCCAGGATGCCCGAAGGAGTAGCTCCCATTTGGGGAACAGGGTGTGGTGTCCAGGTCACAGGGCATCTGTGGGGAAAGGGGTGGGAAGTGGGCTGGAACTGAGGGGCCACAGTGGACATACAGAGTGAGGAGTTAATCCTATTTGTCTGGGTTTTGTCAAGTGGTGAAGGCCTTGTAAGAGCAAATAATAATGCTTCTCCTGGGGAAAATTGTGATACAATAAGAAATATGTTTTTGTTCTTGGTCCCCAGTTTCTGACATGGAGCATCTAAAGCCTATTGGAGTTTCCTGTGGATAGGAGCATCTTTTGTTATTCATAACAAGCTCTTTCCATGTTTTATGCTTATAGGGTAACTGTTTGTGGAACTCTATATGCTTTTGGATGGGAGCTGACTACCAGAGGAACCAACTGTGTTATTAGAGGGCTAGTACTTTCAGCCCCATCCCAGACCTCTTGGGGAGGGACGAGGAGCCCACCAATGATGAATAAAAATATATTAGGGGAAAATATATATATATATATATATATATATATATATATATATATATGCACACACACACACACTGAGTGACCAGATTATTGTGATCTCTGAACACATAATCTGGTTACTCAGTATATATATATATATATATATATATATATATATATATATATATATATATATAGC